TTGCAGCGCAACAATCCTACCTCTAAGTCCCAGATGCCACTGTATGTTCTGATCCGGGTTGGACTTCTGACAGGCATCTAGTGCGTCTTGATAGTTTTTCATCTGGCTGATCAAAACTGCTTGAGGAGTCTGAACCTTATATTGCTCGAACAGAGTCTTCGTGTCAATATGGCTGTAGTGCTGATGTTGCTTAAAGATGGATCTTAGCATCCTCGAGTATTTACTCTGAAGCTTCTGAAGACCTGATGAGGTGATGCCAGTGGCCACAAGCCCATGCAAGAGTGAGGATTCCACATAGACCCTCCAGATCTCCAACTTCTTTGAAGCCTCCAAGGCCTTAGTGGAGCACAGGATGTGTCGAAGTAGCTCAAACTTGCCTTGAGCTTGGGCGATCCTATAGTCAACCGTCTGGTCTTTGTAGGATCCATAGCTGAGCTGCACCCCTAGATATGTTAGTTTGTGATGAATCGGAATCTTATGTCCTGAGGGAAGGACGATGTGCAACTGCTTCTCTTTGCGCATCGTGTGCTTCTTGCGAAAGATGGACTGCTGAGTGCCCTGAACCATTAGCAAGGCTTTGGACTTCGTTGGATTGACTTCCAGCCCCACGTCCTCAAGAGACTGAAAGAGAGCCTCTATTCTGAGCAGCACTTTCTGAAGTTCAGGAAAGCTCGAGAAGGTTTCCTGGAGCAGGAAATCGTCTGCAAAGACTGTTAGGATGTCCCTAGCTTGCTTGCTATCTGGGCCCCATTTCTGCTCCATTCTGCTCATGACTAGAAGTGTCAGCGCAGACCACAATGCCGGGGCTAGCTTGCAACCTTGTTTGATTCCTGAAGAAGTGGGAACTTGAATCTCTAGTCCACTTGTGCCCATGTTGTAGGAGGTCTCACTGTGTAGTTGAACTACCAGTTCTTTCGTAACAGGGTCTGTTCCCAGGCGATCCAAGGCAGCTAGCAGCTCATGTCTATTAACAGAATCAAAAGCTTTGCTCAGATCAACCGAAATAGTAAGTGCCCCTGACAGCTGAGCCTGCCTGGCTCCGCGTTGGGACTTGTGCAGGTCCCTGCGATGCACTTGACGGAGCTGCTGCACGAAATCAAGGTGCTGACATGCTTTCGCGATGGCGTCCCGCACCCCCCTCTGCCTAATGTACGCAAATTGAGGCTGAAGTTGTGAGCTCTCCTGCAGTGCTGGTGCAATGCTTCACTGCGCCTGCTAGCACTTTGCCTGGCACGCTGATGACTCCTATGGGCCTCAGGTTTTTCATGGCGGTGGCTGGCTTGCCCGGCTTGGGGATCCATGCAATGCGAGGGTCCTTTAGATAAGGGGAAATTTCAGAATGGGACACCTCAGAGTTGATTAGACCTGCTATGTGTTCGTGGGCTTCAGGACCTAGACTCTTCCAAGCTGATACTGGGGCTGAGGTGCTGGGGACTGCTTTCCCCACTGGCACTGTCTTGATTTGTGAGGATACCTGCAAGGCGGTGATCGCTGCTCTGGGCACAGCAGCTACTGAGTGCAAAGGAGAACTTTTGGAGAAGATTTGACTCGAGTATTCGCGCATAGTTTTTAGTGAGGCCTCCGTATCAAGCGGCTCACCTGCTTGATCCCTTAGGTTGACTCTCTGCACTGGGCGCCACGGAGCAAGTTTCCTGAGAGTATGAGCCAGTTTGTGGGATTGTTGCCTTTTATCTTCCTGGGCTTGTAGAAGCAACTGCTCTTGCTTCTCTAGCTTTCTTTGTTTTTGCTGTTTTTTGAAAGTCCGCGCCTCCTCCTTGATGTCCTCCACAAGCTTCTGGCATTCAGAATTATGCTCGGTTCCAGCCCTCTTGTGCGCCTGGATTTGCCGCACTTTCTTCCAGTATTCCTGATGAATAGGACCTGCTACTGGCTGAGACTTGCGTGGAGGAGGATAGTGCTCAGCTGATACACTAACCATCACTTCATCCAGTTCTTGCCAAGACGGTCTCACTTGCATTGTCCTCACCACTGCTTCCGTCAGACGATGTGAGTATGCCTGCCAGTTGGCATCTTTCCGCCGAAAGCTCGCATCCAGGGCTGTGGCATCAAACGGCCGTGGCTTGCTGGGTGTAGGACTGTAAGGAGGAATGAACAGAGTGGCTCGCACTGGAAAGTGTTTTGATCCATCTCTGTAAGCAGCCACAGGAAAGTTCTTATCCGAGTAGGCCTCCTTGGATCTCCTCCGAGCATCGTGCAGTCTGACCAGCAAAAAATCGATCTGAGAGGAATATGTGCCATCACTGTTAGCATACGTACTGCGATGGCCAGAAGCCCATGTGTTCAGCGCAGTTAGTCCACAGGATTTGCAGAGCGAGGGCAGTGTCTTCACATCCGCATTTGCAAACCGTACTCGATGAGGCACACTTGGTCCGATATGAGGACGTTCAGTCACCGCATGCGCATTGAAATCCCCAGCCACAATCAAGAAGTCACGTTGTGGGACTCTCTGTATTCGATTTTCGAGCTGTGTCATCACGTCCTTTCTCCTGCCTCTGTTTTCCGTCTTCGAGAGCTTTGAATCCCAGACGTGCTGGTACAGGTTCAGGAGATGTATTCTGGATCTCTGCCACGGGATCATGACGTGCTGCAAATGCCCTGGAACAATGGAAGTGCTGCGAATTTCTGAAAGAGGAGCCAGTGAGCTATGCACCAAGACAACCAGGCCAGCCTTGTGTCTGCTTGTTGAGCCACAGGTTAGGACTGACCACGGGCCTGAGCTGTAGACCTGGTCCTGCTGCCAATGCGATTCCTGCAGGAAAACGATTTTGATGTTCTTGTACTCTGTTGTTGCCAAAAGGGCCAGAATCTCGTTCCAAACTCGACTTGTAATTGAGCCTGCGTTCCAAGTAAGGACTTCCATGTCAAATTTGTGATGGATCTGTCTGTTCGGTTGAAAAGAACGCCTCTCCGCTTTCGCAGGAGACGCGAATTGTCCTTCATGAGCTCCTAGAGCCTGAGCTGTCAGAAGACGGCCTTTGTAAAGTGCTGCTCCCTTCGCCAGGGCAACTTTACAAGCTCTTTGGTAGCTTCGCTTGCCGGTTTTGTTCATGGTTAGCTGACTTCGCTGCGCATGCTGCTCAGCTTCATCGGGGGGCGCTACTTCCCGAAACCCTCGATTCTGATCCATGGCTGGACCCTGGGACTTGGGACCCAGGCACCCAAGAAAGCTCGCTACGGCTACGAGAAGTAAAATCCTCATCTTGGGCCAGAATCTTACAACAACAACAACAACAACAACAACAACAACAACAACAACAACAACAACAAAAAGATCGGGTACTTCAAGGCCATGTTGAAAAGCACAATCCGAGCAGCCCAAGACAGGAAACACCGAACCCCGCAAAAAAGACGAGCGTGAGAAGTAGAACCCGGAAAAGACGCAAAGCCGAAGCGCCAAAAACACGAAACTTGGCCGAAACCGTAGAATGCAAAACGCCATTTCGAAAGCCAAAGTGCCAAAATGTGCAAACAACCAGGGAAACGGACACATGGAGCAGACACAGCAGCAGGTGAGAAATTGCAGAAGTTTAAAACAAAGTTCGAAATCGCGTGTTACAGAAAGTCGGGAACGGTCGAACTTACCGAGACAAATCACGAAGAAATGGAGGGTTTGGCGCGGCCAAAGCCGTGCGGGAAACGCTTCAGGGCTTCAGGTCCAGAGGGCTGACATTCCAAACTCAACTCGCAGCAAGCCCAGCGCCTTCCCTGCCTTCCGACCCTGCATAGGGATGAATAGCAGATAACAGCGGCGCCTACTCGGCTGGCTGTTGAAGACCGTTGGCCCTCCACTTTTTCTAGGGGCTGTGGCTTTGGCTTTGATGTGAGCTTTAGCGTCACGTTTGCGCAGAGAGTTGACTAGAGGTTCGAGGCGAGGGTAGCACGTAGGAGGACACAGGGGGAGGCTTAGGGCCCCATAGTTCCCCTCAGGCGCAAGCAAGTCATGCCCACCCCTTGGAGGTCGACTACCGGGTCGACTCCGGGGCGGGGCACTCATTTTCCCGTTGAGAGCTTATCAGGCTGTGGTGTAGGATGCTAGAGCTGTGCTGCTGCATAGTTGCAGAGGGAATGTAGATTTTCCAGGGCTGGCAAGTATATAGTTGTCACAATGGTCGCACGTGTGCAGAGACATGTGTTAGGTCAGGTTCGAGCCGAGATCATTTTTGGGCCCCACCGCAAGCTCGCACTCTCTCTCCCTGTCTCTCTCTCTCTCTCTCTCTCTCTCTCTCTCTCTCTCTTTCTTTCTTTCTTTCTTTCTTCTTTCTCTCTGTGTCTCGTTTGTCTGCCTGCATTTCCTGTCTCGATAGTATCATTTTGTCCCCTTTGCTTTGCTGTGGGGGTAGAAGCTATTCAGATTGGAGGAAAAGCCAGGCAGAGTCTGCTCTCGTCTTGCAGGTTGCTGGCCTGCTGTCGGGAAAGCAGGCGCTGGAGATGCAGCAGCTGATGGACATGGGCTTTGATGCTGCGCAGGCAAGCGCTGGGCGTGCGGATCATCTCCGTACTCTCCAGAAACCCTCTGCAACTCCATGATGGTGTCAGTGCTGACTTCGTTATCCTGCTTTCCACGGGCGAATGCAAGAAAATGGAAGGGGTTGGCGAACCTGAATGCTCAAAGGGTTGTTGAGGGCCCAAACTCTTCAAGGGGCCTTCAGTCACAAGCCCTGTATTGTATGGTCCTGTGTGATCCCTGCAAACCCAACCTCACCGTATCATCATCAGTATCCACAAGTCCTCTCAGCTACCCGACGAAGGCAGCGTTCGCGCTGAACGAAGCTGGCTTCGATGTTGCAGTGGCCGTCGAGATGCTCTTGAGCCGCCCCGGTGCAAACAGGGGATAGGGGCGTTCCCTCGTATTTAGGGGGGATCGGCTCTTCAGTGTGATTGAGGTCCTGTTAACATTTCTAGAGGTGACAGCCTGGATGCTGCATGCAGTCTGCATGCCCTTGACATTGGGTTTCAAGGCTGTTCTGAGAGTATTCAACTCTTTTCTTTCCTCTCCTTAGCTGCCTCGTTCTCATCTCTCTCTCGCTCTCATCTCTCTCTCGCTCTCTCTCTCTCTCTCTCTCTCTCTCTCTCTCTCTCTCTCTCTCTTTCTCTCTTCTCTCTCTTCTCTCTCTCTCTCTCTCTCTCTCTCTCTCTCTCTCTCTCTGCCTGTCTTTTTTGTTGTGATTTTTTCCCTCGCTCTCTGTCTCTCTCTGTCTCTCTCTCTCTCTCTCTCTCTCTCTCTCTCTCTCTTCTTTTTCGCCCTTCTCAAGCTGTCTGTAGTCAGGTGGAGTGGACGGTGTAGGCCATTGAGGGCAACTCCTCGGATGCCTGCGTCCATACTGAGCGCTATTTTCGATTCTCTGGCCAGTCAGAACAGTTCATTGATTCTGATTGTTGCGAACTAAGGCACAGAGCTAGGTTTAGGGTTCAGTGTTTAGGGCTTAGGGTTGGGTTCGGCCGGTCCACACTAACAGTCAAATAACGCCGTGGCCTTATAACACACAGGCCAAAAATAGCACCAGGAATCCCAGTCAATTTTAGCATTTACCGGGTGCTTCTTTTTGTGGGTCTGCTGGTGGTGACTGTTAGTCACATAGCAGCAGAAATAGCACCAGAAATAGCACCAGAAATAGCACAAACAATAGCACAAAAAATAGCACCAGAAATAGCGCCAGGAATAGCACAAAAAATAGCACCAGAAATAGCACAAGCAATAGCACCAGAAATAGCACCAGGAATCCCAGTCAATTTTAGCAGCTTAGCATTTACCGGGTGCTGTTTTTTGTGGGTCTGCTGATGGTGATTGTTAGTCACATAGCACCAGCAACAGCACCAGAAATAGCACCAGAAATAGCACAAACAATAGCACACAAAATAGCACCAGAAATAGCACAAACAATAGCACAAAAAATAGCACCAGAAATAGCATCAGGAATAGCACAAAAAAAATGCACCAGAAATAGCACCAGAAATAGCACCAGGAATAGCACCAGGAATAGCAGGAATCTCAGTCAGTTTTTTGGCATTTACCGGGTGCTTTTATTTGTGGGTCTGCTGGTGGTGACTGTTAGTGTGGACCGGCCGAACCCAAGCTTAGGGTTTAGAATGCAATATCCACAAACTCAGCCATGGTAACCCTGAGGACTGATGAATGGATATCACCTGTGCCAACTTGCAACAATCAAACTTCGGCTTAGACTCTTTGACAGACGCGGAGTCATGCCAGGGTGCTGCAGCTGCATCCTGAATTAGCGTTCTCCATCGCTTGCACGAGCCGCTTTCAGCCTTGAGGATGTCTCCAGGGTGACCCTGGATGGGTACTTCCCGACCTAAACCGTAACTGGCCAAAATCGCCAGCACTGGTTCATCGTCTCAGGCATGGAAAAATTGTCGACCGACTTTCTCATTTCTCGGCTTGGTGTCTTAGTGTTCGAGACTCCCAAGGATGGAGAGGAGATGAAGAGTCCCGAAGTTGGTAGCAATGTTTAAAGGGCAAAAGGTACCCCCAAACATTGTCAACCCCAAACAGGTTTAGGGTTTAGGGTTTGTAGTGTTTAGGGTTTAGGGACGGCTTGCAGGACTTTCCCACGTGAGCTTGGCGCTTCACTCCCTTGCAGATCAAAAGTGCCCCCCCCGCCCCCCGAGGTCATGATAAAGCAACAAGCCACGTGCCAAAAACCCCTCGCACAGGGAACCTGACCGGCACGATTTGGCTATGTGTAGTGCAGGGGTTTCGGGTTTAGGGTTTAGGGTTTACGGGTTTACGGGTTTAGGGGTTTAGGGTTTAGGGTTTATAGAAATTGTATAGGGTTTGGGTCCCAATAACGTTTTGAGCGAAAGTTTTGACCGAAACGTTTTGACCGAAGCGTTTTGACCGAAACGTTTTGACCGAAACGTTTTGTTTTTTGGAACCACATTTTCATATTTGGGTCGGGGGGGGGGGGGGGGGGGGGGTGGGTGGTGGGGGCTGGAGCTGGGCCTGGGACTGGTTGGGAGGGCTGGGGCTGGGTGTGAAGTCGACCAGCACTGGACTTGCACTAAGCCAATGCAATCACAGCCCGGCCACGCTGTTTTACGACTTCGCGAGTTCAAGCACTTGTGCAGCTACGCCTGAGTGCGTCCGGTCGGACCGCACAGCAACCTAAGAGCTACTGTACGAAACTACCGTGCTCAAAGGCACAAGCTCGGTACTTGAGCCAAAACATTGGCATTGATGCGAATTGCAAAACTCTACATGCAAAGGAAAACTACTACAGTACTGGCCCTGGCAGCTTTGCACATGCAGCGTGCGTGCATAGACCTGCTCACATTCGCCCCTCAGCCGAGGCTTCCAGCTCATCTCGAGCTCGGAGTGCAGCATGCACTCGCGCTGAACACAGAAAGGGAAGGGAGAGGGTGTCGCGTGCGACCGCGGTGGTCCGCACATCATGAGCATTGGCATGCGGCAGGGACGCTAGCCCGCACCACCAAAACGAACGCACGACGACAGCAACCCTC